GGTGTCGACTTATTCGTCCCAGTGGCTGTGCAATGACATCAGCCAGTGACTTCAGTACTCTTGGATGGAGCTCATCCAGGCTTGCTGACTTAAACGCATCCAGTTCTTCCAAGTGACCCTGCAATATCTCAGGGTCTACGCTTGGTAGTCTGGTGCCCTGCTGTTGTCTCTCTACAATCCCATTGTGAGACTTGTCTTGCCCTTGTTTAGGAACACTGAGGCAAAGAACTCATTGAGGAGTTCAGCCTTGTCCCCCCTGTCCGTCACCAATTGCTTTTGCCCATGCAGTAACAGGCCCAGGGCGGAATAGGACCTTCTTTTACTCCCTATATATCTGAAAAACAATTTTTTGTTATCCTTAACTTGGGATGCCATCCTTATCTCCATGGTAGCTTTGGCCTTTCTAACTGCCTCCCTACAACTGCAAGCTGAGGAGGTATACTCTTTAGTAATCTCTCCCTGTTGCCACTGCTTATATGCCCCCCTTTTTACCCTTAGGCTGCTCTGGATTTCTCTGATCAGCAAGGGAAGCCTCTTGGCCCCTTTCTCCCCTTTCTTCCGCATTGGGACCGTCTCCCTCTGTGCCTGAAGGATAGTTTCCTTAAGGCACAGCCACCCTTCCTGGGCTCCCATGTCGCCAAATCTCTTACTCTGCAGTGCATCATAGGCTAAACGCCTGAGTTTGCTGAAGTCAGCCTTCCTAAAGTCTAGCACTTCCACCCTACTAGTTACCTTACCCACTCTACACCTTATGATGAATTCTATTATTTGGTGGTCACTGTCCCCCAGGTGGCTGCTGATCTGTAGGTCCCCTACCATGTCATCCCCTGTTGCCAAAACCAGGTCCAGTAAGGCATTCCCCCTAGTGGGACCATGTACCTCCTGCGTCAGGTGGAGGTCCTGTATACATGATAGGTTCACACAGGGTTAGTTCCTTGAGACAAGCAGCAAGACAGTGGGGAGAAACTTGGGGCTCCAGGGGTACCCTGTAGATAGGTTTATGAATAAGTGACTTCTTGGCCTAGGGAAAAACTGGAGGAGAGATTTACCAGAGGCTCCAAGCTGACTTTGTAAAAGTTAGACTGATTGGGATAAAGCCAAAAAATGTAAATATTTGGTCACAGAAATAATATAAGTGGGAGTGAAGTTAAAATGGAAAGGGAGTTCCATCAAAGTAACCGGACTACAAACACCTTTATGCCACATTGAGGTACTAAGATTACATGAAGAGGTACCAAGATTTCATGGGGTGATAAATTCTGCTTTGGCTACCTTTAGTTTGCATGTAATCTAGTTGCCTGAACAAGTCTTGTGAGCATGCTAGCATACAAAGATGCCCAATGGACAAACATTGTTAAAGAGTTTCAGAAACTAAAGGAGCTAACTAAAGAGTTTCCAGTCTTGAAGTACTATAATAGGATGTGTGAAACTAAGTTGTCCACAAATGTCTCCAAAGAGTGTATTGCATTCTTCGCTTAGCAGCAAAGGTGTTGATAAAAATGAAATATCAGTACACTCCTACAGAGAAGCAGACTTTTGCCTCAGACCATAGAAGTAAAACACATTATGTTTTTACTCCTAGGAGATTAATATTAGCTGAAACTAGCTATAAACCATTTACTGCCAGAACAAAAAAGGACTTGGCAAAATAACCTTTGAGAATAGAGGTTGTTTTTTCATCCACAAATAGATGATTTGGAAAGTGAATATAAAGCTGGGAGATATTTGGTGGCTGTAGACGCACACTAGAACATTTGACAAAAATTAAGGAAGCCAGTTCCAGAGAGATTATGTTTATGTCAGTATAATTTAAGGAGAAACTAGCTAGTCTCAGGTGAAATGTAGACTGTAACTGCCAGAACTATTAGTGAGGATGAGATCCTGCCAAAAGCAATTGCATCCATTAGCACAGTGTAGCTATGACAGCATATTCCAAGCCCCCTTACCAATTTAATGAGGGGTTCTGAGGGGTAGATGGTATTTTATTTAAAGATACCAGGATGGCACTTCGTAAGATGTTACAGAAAGGTATTTTAGGTAATATACATGTTATTCAAGGACTAAAAAATCTAAATAAAGAGAGATACTGTCCTTGAATGAACAGTGACATTGAGAAGCTGTTAAAGCTTGTCTCATGTCAATAATATAGTCAAGGGAAGCATTAGATCCTATCTTGCTGGCACAGGAAAAGTCGACATAGATTTGTTTATGTTGGCCAGAGAGAAAATTATGTAGTTGATTAAACTATTTTTTGCATCCCTGAAATAGTGTTGTTAGAAAAAACAAATGCAAATGCACTCGCATATATTTTTGCAAAACATGGTGTACCTGATATGGTGATGCCTGAGAAATTAATCAAAATTGGGCATGGATTTAAGCAGTTTGCAGAGAAGTACATGCTTAAACATGGTATTTCTAGGAG